ATTGCACTCATGGAATCTTATGATATCCTATTTTGTATTAGAAATGAACTGGATGATACTACAGAAGAGTGGCAATATTTTGTTCCATACTTGTTACCACGTAATGTTAAGCCCTTTGATTTGCGTAAATATCATGCCTCAGATTGGCTTTACATCGGATACGAGAAAGGAGATATTCCATATGGAATTTTTCACAGCCTGCTATCATCTTGTTTAATACAATGGAATAATAAGGTTGTAGAATTATATTATCGATGCGCTAAATATTATTTAGCAAATGATGATCATTACCTGATAATTAAGAAAGAAGGACCTTACATTGGTTTACAATATTGCTATCAGAAAATCAATCAGCTGGACATTGGTAAATTGGTGATCGACAAAGTTAAGAATTCTATATTTAACAAGCGGCCGCACGATATTGTCAAGAATAAGCTTATCTCCATTGTGGATAAAAGGATGATAAATTTTCAAGGGGCTCGTTGCCGATTTTACGTTAAATGTAACGAGTGTAATGAAGAAATAAGTATAACCGAAGAATATAGAGAAGAAGACAGCAATTGGATTCGATGCGAGTATTGTACTCAGCAATTTGCTAGTCAATCTCTCCACGATTGGATGATTTATAATAAAGAGTTATCGATAGGTAAGGATATAAAATCAGCCAGTAGCTTTGTTATTGCCACGTCTTTTTTTACCGTCATGTATCTGACAAGAGCGCTAGCCTAAGTTATTCGTAATATCAAGTGTTCGATGGTTAAAACGTTTCCACACACTACAATAAGATTATTACAACATCACCTTTGCTTAATCTGTAGCAAAATACTAATGCAATCGAGCTAAATCACATCCGAGATTAAGTAGAGTGGCAATGATCTCCATCTTAATTTAGTTCTCAAGTTGCAATAATTATTGTACAATCTACAATAGTTGATGAAGTGGTAGTATTTACTAATTATAATTTACATATATTTCTTATTAATAATAAATAGATAGCAATCTTTCGGTATAGCCAGTTCATCTATTATAGTCTGTTTATTTGGCAATATAGAACTCGTTGAATTTTTTCCGCAATTGCTTTGTAACATCAAAAGTATTCATAACCATCAGAAGTACGAGAATGTTCTTAATTTTACATCGTAGCTAATCAGTTCCATAGCTTTATAGGACACGCATATATAGAGGTTATAGAGCACATAAATAGAGAAAGAGGAAGAGAGCATTCTTTGTAAACCGTTTCTAGGTGTACTTTTCATTTTACTGTGCATAACTTTTACTATTTGCTTCAATTCAACTACCATAGAACTGCCAATTTATTATTCCTCTTCTTTATTTCATTCCTTTAGAGCGATGGATAGATGTGAGAGATGACGGTAAGTGTCAATGAAATCGTTTTCTATTCATAATTATAGTAATTAATTTGCCCATTTAATTATAATAGTAACTAGAAGTAATTATTATGTGTGATATTATCTCACAAAGCTCTGCTAGCTAATTAGAATAGCAACGAATATTTCAGATTATAATTAGAACATATAAGCTACTACTCCACTACTTTACTTGCGAGTATCCAACAATAAGTAAAATGAATTAGGTTAAATTAATACAAATGTATCCACATTTAAATCATGTGGTACTTCCTTAAATTATTGAGTCACATTGATAGCACACAGCTGAGTATGCGGGTTCGGCTAGTCCATGATAAGATAATTTCAATTTGTAATTTTAAGATGACGTATGTGGTAATATATTCATTCGTGCCTTATAGATCCTAGAAACTATTTTCACTTGATCGCTAGTTGTGTTGGTGTAGACTGGACAAAATTAGCTACAGTCCTAGATCCAACAATTGATACTGAGGTTATCGAAGCAAAACATCGTGGTCATGCCTATAACAGTGCCATCCAATCGCTTAATCAGTGGTACAGAAGGAAATACCCAAATGCTACTCTTAATCTATTGCGGAACGCTTTGGAAACGATTGACAGAAATGATATTATTATCCCAAACGAACAAAATTCCTAGAGGACTAATCTTCTTTTGTTTACTATAGTGTAGATACTAATTTATTGATGGTCTATTTGTGCTCATTTGCATTTTTTTAAGATCAAAATAATTAGCGTTATAAGAAAATAATGTTTTGTTTTGCCTTGAT